CACTGTGCAATTTTTAGCTGTTAGCATAATCTTGTCTGTTTTTAGAGATTACTAAAAAAATCAACAATTTTCACTGCATTCTGTCAAATAATATCTTAAAATAAACATCATTTAAAACACATTTCAACAGAATTAAAAATAATGAAACACAGTCTGTACAGCAAGAAATAACAAGTGGATCTATGGCAGTGGATCACATATAATTAAGGAAAATAGTACTACAGTCATTTGCAAAAAAAATTGAAAGATGTATAAAATATTTGGAATAAGACAAACTGATACTTGGCATCTGGCTGTTTGCCAATTTGCTTAGTAGTTTATTGAGTATTTACTGGCTAATACTCATTGCAACTTAGAATACCAGCCAATTTACATCCAATACTTAAAACATAAATAAAAAAATTCTTATTGTTATAGATGCCCAATATTTGTTTATAGAGTGGCTTGTCTCTCCTCCCTTGATTGCGATGTGTATATATTTCCGTTTAACGCAGCTCTCTGTAGGACTGGGGTTGTTGCTGTTATATGGGTTTCATGCGAACCTGATTGTTTGGCTGCAAAAAAAAAGAGAGAATAAAACAATCAATTCATGAAAATTGTTTTAGAATTTAAATAATTAAATTATTTAGAGTACATACAACTTAATAATCGCACAACAACACAGAACATTATATACAACCCACATGAAGATAGAACACACAGACATTGTATTTATCCGGGTAAGAGCCCAGGGTGCTGAACATTGAAAATTGCAAAAAATAGGGGTGGGCCTATGCCCGGACATCCCTGCAAAAAAAATGAAAATTCATGAAAATTTACAACACGCAGATCGAACTGCGGCAGGGAATAGAATGACAAATGAAAACATGCCACAGAAATAAATGAACAATATGCAACATTAGAAGTACAACAACAAAAAATTATTGCTTATAATGTGACAAATAAACCAGAAATAACAAAAATTGACAGTGAGAAATCGTTTGAATTAGGATTTCCCCACTGCCAAACAATAAGCACGCCCAATACGTGTGAACTCAAAATGTACTAAAATGTCAGGGGTTAAACTGCGTAAAATTATTTCCGGTTTCGACAAATTATGGAACAACTGTCATACATGATCAATAATAATTTACAAATTTACATTACAAATTATGAAAGTTCATTGTTGTTCCAAAAAACTTATCAGATCTTTATTTGTATGTTCATTGCCATCTAGTCAAAAGTCTCAAAGTTCAAGTCGGCGTCAATGTCGCCGTCGAACAAAATCTCTACAGCTTCGTACTGAATTTCATCCATGTCATGCACACAATTCACACTTTTAATCCACGAATTTCACTGTCTGCAGCTTGGCATTTTTAATTCATGTCTAATCACAATAAAGAGACAAGAAAAATGGGGTCGCTCTGCTACGATGGCAGACTTTTGTTCACAGTCTGATTGGCTGATTTGATTGGCTCTATCATCATAGAGGTCAAGTCAACACTGCTTTCTTATCAGACTAGACGCTCATCAATCATGGTGAAAGTTATCATTCAACAAGTATTTGTGGTTGAAATGTCTCACTATATGGATATCGCAGTGGGCTTGTAATAGGAAGATTTTTTTTTCCCAATAAGAGAAGAATAATTTTCATGACAGAAATGCAGCAGTAGCGGTGATGAAAGACGTTAAAAAAGTTGTCAGTCTTCGGCATGACATTGCAAAATGGCTGGCCCCAGTTATGGATTCGCAAGCTGCTACCAAATATTTTATGAAGCCAAAACAATGTGCTTTCAACCACTCTCCCAGGTACGGGTTGCTACAATATTGCAACATTGGTTTCATTGTCGATGACGCTAAAGTTCTATGACATCATAGCCAATGTATAAAGATTAGATTTGACTTCATAACTGAATATCTGTCTATCTATCAAACACCATACATACCTGCTACAGACTTTGTGGCTTGCTTCACTTCCTGAGCTAATGCTGCTTTCAAAGACAGCAACTCTTCTCTCCTGTGTTTTTCTTCCTCTATTTTATCTTTAACTGCCTCGACTTCGGCTTCCATGTCCATCTTGTACCAGTCTGACATGCTATTATTAATAAATACACAAATAATAAAATCAGCAAATAATTGGCAATCAGTGTTGATCACATGAGTTCTTTTGTACAGTGCGAACATGCAGTAGAATATTGCAAACAGACAAGACATCAGAAGATATCACATTGATATTGATAACATGCCATACTTGGCAAAATTAAAACTTTTCAAAGTATCAAATCTACAGCAAAATCAATAAACCTTCAATAAAACAAGAAAAACATAAATTCAAATATAATATAACTCAACAATGCAATAGTGATTAGTGTGTAGGTGCACAAGCAGCTAGTGCACGTATGCATACACAACATAGATTATCTAGATACCGGTAGATACAACAAGCAGCTTTTAGACACATGCAACAAGACATTCACGCTGGGTAGGACAAGGAAACAGTGATCAGGATATCATTGGAACACTACAACAGAGAGAATGATAGTATAACTTCAGCAGTCAGCATCCAAGGAGTTG